TCCAGCAGTTTCTCACAGGGGCCATCTCAGTAGTGGTCCCCCCACCCCTGCTACCAAAACCTTGGAGCTGGGGGAACTTTTAGCAGTTACTTGCAGGAGCCATCACTGTACCCCCTCCCCTGCTACCAAGCAAGACCACCACACAAAACCACAACACAGGGTTACGTAGCTGCACCATATCAGAGTTTTCCCTGAATGTAGGCAGCCGATCCCTTAAGAGGACAGATGGGAAAGAGGTTGCAGAGCCTGTTGGTGCACTTACAGCTGTGGCACTGCATGCAGGTGAGGATCTGTGACGTTTGTTATGCAATAGGTCAAACTAAAATTATTGTTCCAGTCCTTTCAGGCATTAAAACCCAGTACCCCATCCTCTCCATCCATCTTGACAAATGTTGATGGTCATCCACAGCACCTAACGTACCCCTCAAAGCTGCCCTGGATCTTCAAGGTCAGTGATCAGTCATTTGAAGAGGCCCGGTGTAGTAGGATAAACTGGGATGAAGAGTATGATTGCTGGAATTTAAAGGCGACCCCAATACATGGATGGCTGCGGGTCTCCCCACATCTTAGTCTCTTCTTCAGTGTCTCAGCCTAACTACTTTAGATAGCCAGTCTGACAGTCGGTGGTATTTGTTCAGACCTGAAGATGCTGGTGTCTATTCTTGGCATGCGTAAGCACAGTTTCCTCCCCTTGCTGCCAGGGTTTGGCTTCTTGCTTTTCCCATCAGCCTGAGTCTGCCTTACCAGTGCTCTGCTCTTCTGTCTGGCCCCAAGGAGAGCTGCTGTCAGTTTTGGGGTCTGAGGAATGTGATAGCTAATGTAAAGCTTGCACTGCTTTTTCCACAACACCCTAAATCAGAAGGAATCAAAGTTGATTGATACTAAACAGATAATATTTTGTTAGCTGCTGCTTAGACATCAAATAGTCACTGGGTAGTGAGGAACCCACCTTCTTCTTCTTTCTGCATCTTTCCACCCAGATCCCAAGCTCTGTGCAATTCCTGTGACACCTAATGGACACGTGGACCCATCCTTGCCCTCTTCCAACCCAGCAGTGGCTGCTGGGGGGGTCACCAACTCTTCACGCAACTCCCTGCAGCCTGACCAGATCCGTGTTGCTGTTGGCTCCCGAAAGAGCAGTGTGATGTCTCTGGGGAGAATGACCTATGACCAGAGATCCTTGGTGAGTAAGTAGAAATGTGTGTTGTACCCTTCTTTTGAAGTCTAAGCTCTCTGTTGTCTTTCTGCCATCTCTTGGGGATTGCTGTGGAGGATTGCACTGCTGCTGTAGGCTTCGTGTTAGAAGCACATTGCCTGTCTTTAGAATGCCAGGTCAGTTCACATTGTTTATCTAAATCTCCAGATTATTGACCTCTGTTTCCAGGTTATTGATTTATATGCCATTGAGTGTGGGATTCAGCTCTTTTATCTTCTTCTGGTAGGAGAAGGGAACACCAAGGAGACAGAGTCTCCTTCTTGGAGTGAAACATGTTTTGTCCTCTTACCCTTTCCTTGTCTTCCTAGAGCACAGGACACAAAATGAAGCCCTGAGCTAAGAGCATAAAAATATCTGGGTGATGCCAGAACTGCCAAGTCCCATAACAGATGGGTTTTCTGGAAGCTTTTGTAACAATGAAGAGGAGTCTCAACTTGGAGCTCCCCGTAGCAGGTCCTGCTACCCCTTAGTACTACACCAAGCACTGCTGGCTGTCCAGCCAATGCATCTCAGATCTGTCCACCTTGTAACATCAGCTTCTGGGCTTTCTACACACTGACATACACAGCTTTGGGCGAGTGCATTGGTACTCATTTCTAAATAGGGAGTGCTGGCAGCTACATACTACATAAGTTGTTGGTGTGGTTGGACTAGACTGTAACCAACAAGCCTGTTTCTCTCATTTCTTCCTTTTACTAATACTGTACTCAAAGATGGTGTGTCAGATTATCCATTACCATGTACCTTGTGTTATTGTTTACCCCAGGGCAGCATAAAAAGCTGCCAGTCAGATTTTTGGAAAGCTTTATTCTTGCTCTGTGCTGATGTAAGTAATAACATCAGGCACCTGGCCTTTGGCTTTATTATTTACCTTTCCCATAAGTGCTTAGCACACAGATGGTGCTATAAAGTAATCGCAGCCAACACCATTGCTAACTCATTGTAAATTTATTGTCAGATTTACAGAGATTTCTGCTAAATTCCCACCATGCAACTTCCTCAATGGCTGAAAAATGGCAACCTCCTGGCTTAGGGGCACAGGGAGAAATCTGTGATCCAAAATAGGATTGTGTGCTCCCTCCTTGTGCCCAGAGTCTCTGAGTCCCCATTCTGCTCTCTTACAGTCCAGCTCCCGCAGTTCCCACTATGGTGCCTGGGGCCACAGTGGGGCCTGGGGGAGCCGTCGCTCCAGCTGGAATAGCCTGGCCCGGGGACACAGCCTGAAGAACAAACTTCCCTCTGCTGAGCACGAATCCCTCCTGTCTGGGGAAAGGTACAGGGTGGCAGATGGGGAGCCTGATGGGACAGGAAGGGTGTTTCACCACCGTCGGACACTCTCCCTGGACAACAAAGGCTCCTGTGATCTGCTGGAGTTGGCCTCAGTCCCCTCCAGCCACAGAGTGACCTGTAAGCTTGGAGCAGCATCCGGGGCTGGCGAGCATCAAGATTGCAATGGCAAAATGCCTAGTATTGCCAAGGAGATCTTCCCAAAGATGAATAACCGCAAGGAACGGGGAGAGGATGATGAAGAGATAGATTATGTGAGTACTTGGTGCAGGGAACCTGGGATTACACCGCAGTGTTGTGGGAAAGCCCAAATCCATCCTCAAGTTTCAGTCTCCCTGTGATGTGGATGGGACAGCATGCAAAGGTGCTTTAAGTACAGCTGGAGGACAACATCGAGCACAGGTGGGACCTTCTAGGCCCAGACAAGCCCAAACCATATTTCCAGGCTGCCTACAAGGCAGTCATACAGGTGGATGGTGGGAGGAAGGCAGATGTGAAGCACATACATGGTCATTCGGGGGCTGTTATTTCAGAGTAATGCAGCCAGTGATTTCTACAGGTTAGGAATGGTCGGGCTGCGTGAGCAATGAGAGCTTTGCGTGGGGAACATCAGCAGATCAGAACAAGAAGCACAGGCATAAGAGACAAGGCAAATGAGTTTTGCAGTGCTGGCCTGGGAGACCGCAATGCCCAATCTATGAGCTGACCAAAGGGTGGAAAAAATGAAGGGAGTGTCAGCAGAAATTTTACCAGACATATGCTGTATGAAATTAAATCACAACCAAGCCCAAGTGCCAACAGAAGGCCTGCCTGTCATGGCCTTTAATTTAGCTGGGGTAGCAAGGAAGCACTGTCGTGATTTAACAGAGCCACTCCAACAGCTTTGAAAGGGCATCGTGGACAACATCCCTCCCTAGAAAGGACGCCAGCAGTTTTATTTCTAATGATCTGGGGAGGAAAACAGATGCAGAGCAGTAAACAGGCCCTGGTAAAGCAGCCCCTACCTCCTCTTCAGCGGCTTGTTGCTCTTTGATTCCATTTCCTCATTCAGGGTCTTAAGGAAAGGCAGGTAGTGCACCTGGGGAACTGCAGGTAGTGGTGTTATGGGGTCAGATGCAAAAGGAAGAGTGTCTCTCTCAGGCAAGTGGAAAGATAACCAGTGGCACTTGCTTCTGCTGTGTTCCTCCAGAGCCTGTGCTTTCGCATCCGGAAGATGATGGAAGTCTATAAACCAGATTGGTGTGAGTTACGGGAAGACTGGTCCATATATCTTTTCTCTCCACAAAACAGGTTTGTGCAGTTTTTGCCATGAAAGAGTTGAGAAGATGGGGCAGTTTCTTTTTCCATGCTGGCCATGTGCTCTGAGCTGCATGTTAGGTTGCAACTTTAAACTTCCCAGCTGGGAATCTGTTTTGCCTCCTCCATCTCCCCTTCTACAGCCAAACAACACTTCTCTTCCCTGATTCTAGAGAGGAAAGGAAGGATGAGAATCCTAAATAGCTATTGTGATTTTTCCCTCCCTTTGGAACATTCAATTTTTCTTTTGTGTAATCATAAATATTTATAGCAAAGCAAGGCAGGGAATACTAACATTAACCCAAAAAGGAGAAGGAATGTATTATTAAGGACTCCATAATACTGATATTTCCTCCCCTGGTACCAGAACAATATCTCCATTTCATTTTCAGTCCCAATACCAACTTATCAGCAGTTGTATCACAGCTTTTAGGGCAAAGTTAGAATTCTTCTTGCCTGAAATAAATAAATTTAGGATAAATTCTTCCTGCTAAAGGGGTCTTCCTGCCAGGAGAAAATGTCCATGTACCTCAGACAACAGTATCCTCACTCAGTGCATCGCACCTTGAAAAGAAGGGGCTTTCATTACAGGTCACGAGGGAGAGCTCTTTGCTCTGTGTGACACCTGCACTAATGAGCACACTGTCTTTCAGAGTGGACAGAAGTGTGGTCCGCATGACAGCCAACCTTCCTGCCTCTCAGCTTTCAGCGTGTGGCCTCTTTGCCCTAGGGTGGTACAAAGCATGAGTTTGGGAGGAAAACTGGAACTCAGCCTCTTCTCTACAGGGCAAGAGAAGAGCACAGAGCTGTAGTGGTTAGGAAACCACTCTGGCACTGCGGCAATGGATGAAGGTTCAGCTCCTTGCTCTGTGCCTGCTCTGCTTGAGGCTCCCTGTGTGACTGTGGGCCACCCTGGGATATTGCCATGGCAAGTGACATCAGTATCAGTGATAGGAAAGCTGCTGCATCAGAGCTCAGTTTTGGACAGACCTCTCAGTTCTCTGTCCTCATAGCTCCTAACCTTGCTGTACCCAAGGCACAGGTGCCTACTGGAACTCTTTTGCAGGTTTCGCCTCCTCTGCCAAACTGTCATTGCTCACAAGCTTTTTGACTACGTTGTGCTGGCCTTTATCTTCCTGAACTGCATTACCATTGCCCTGGAGAGACCACAGATTGAACACAGAAGCACGGTGAGCACCATTTCCTCCCACCTGCATTTTAGCACAACCTCTGACAGAGGTTTGTAAGTGTTCCTGGCACTGGTATGACCTCTGGAAGAACTTCAGCATTAGACACCAGCTCCCACTCGTCTATTCATATGCCCAAGTATTAGTAACTCACATAATGTGTGCTTCCCCTTCCAGAGTCTTATACTTTATAATACCGTAATCCTAGTTCACTTCCTCTTGGAGAGTAAGAGAGTCCTCTAGGCACCTGCAGTTAAGAGATAACTGGCAAAAAGGACAGGGACTGGGAACTAAAAGATAGAAGTAGCTTCCATTCTGTAGGAATGGCTTGTCATCATTCATATATGCTACTTTTGAACTATCTTGGAGATGGCTCAAGCTGGCAAGTGAAATGGCCTCTTCTGCACGTCTGCCTTACCTGACCCACAGACTGTACTGCACTTACACACAATCCAGTGGTCAGTGCTCAGCAGCCCTTTGTGAAGGAGTCCCGGTCAGCGCAGCAGGTCAGGACTGAGCAGCGCTGGCAGAACAGGGCAGAGAGCAACTTGAAACCAGATTTGCAGGATGCGTTGCAAATCCCATCCGCTGTGCTTTTGCAGACTTGCATAGGATCCTGTCCCAGCTGTGGCACAGGGCTGAGCCAAGGTGTGTGAGCTAAAGCTGCCCAGCACTGACCTTTGCTGAAGGCTCTTCTGTTATTTCCTCAACTTTCAGATCAAGAAGAAGTCAAGATACATTTAAGATCTTTTTTCTGTTTTGGTTTTGTTTTGTTTCTTTTTTTTCTAGGAGAGAATCTTCCTCACTGTGTCCAACTACATTTTCACAGCAATTTTTGTAGCGGAGATGACACTTAAGGTAAGTTACTGTAGAGATGAACAGCTCAGAGCCTTTTCCCAGTGTCAGGAACAACATGGTTCATGTTTGCTCAGCACTCTTCTAAAATCCCTCTGTCTTTTCAGTGTGCTGGTCATTCCCCCTACCTTGGTAAAGGCAGCTACTGCCTGGGGTTGGGTCCCCTCTTGTCAGTCATGGAGGGGATGTTTATCCTAGGCTTTACATCCAAAGGGATCTTAGTATCTGGGAGGAATAGCTAGCCTCCAGGTATGGATTTTGTAATAATGCCAAATGTCTGCTCCCTTCCTCCTGGAGCAAGAATGGAGGAAATAACAACAATATGAATAACATGCTCATAGTTGAGATAACTATTTAATAGGTGTCTAAGTACCTTACGACAATGGAGAA